TTTTAAAAGTATTATCTATTAAGCAATCGATTTGTTTTATAAATACTATATTTTCTAAATTATAATAGAGTTTAGAAAACAATTATTTATAAATTAAATAACATTTCGTTAATACAGAGTCTAAAGTATAGAAACTACTGAATCGATAAGAATTAAGCCTTTCTATCAAATGTGTAACAATCGATACATTGCTTACAGTTAAAGGTTTTTTAAATTAAATTTTGTTTTTCCAAAGACAAGATTAGTCTTGATTTACATTTTAAACACTCCTTTATATACAGTCTTACAATCAATTATAATATTCTTGATTTAAACGCTGAAACTCTTGTCAAGAAAGTATATAATTATCTCAATCTAAATAGTGATTAAAATTGTGTTTGAATTATAATAATGTATTCATTATTTGTCGTTTAATTGATAAATATATAGTGTATTTCTGTTGAGTTTCTCTTTTCTTTGCATCTAATCTCGACTCTAATTTAGATGACAAACGATAAGACATTGTTTTGCCACCACTTGTGCTATGATTATATAGCAATTCAATTGAATTCCTATTGTTATAGAAAGTAATAATTAGTGTTTGTCTGCGACAAAAATCCCAAATCGTAATCATAAATAGTAATTATTTTGTTTTTATTTTGCTTTTAGTTTCTATTAGTGGTGCTATTCATTCAAATTCCTGCTTAATATAGTATTATGTGTTTTAATTCAATACTAAAAATAGTTTAAGACTGAAAGCAATGCAATGCACGGCAATTGTTTTCTCGCCGGCAATCATTTGCGACGACGACCTCTTAAACTAAATTNTATTTATAAAACAAATCGATTGCTTAATAGATAATACTTTTAAAAATATTTTTTGCATTTAATACACATTTTCAAAGTCTTGCGGCAATAAAAGGCATTGAAACTAAAGTCACACAACAAATAGCTTTGATATTTAAACTCAAAAATATACCGAAAGTCTAATGACTGGAGAAATAAATCAAAAAATTAAATATTCATAAAAACGGCAAAAACACACAAAAAATACTTCAAACCAAAAACAAAACAAACATTTCTAAAAAAGGCCAAAAAATTCAATCAATTATGAAAACGAGATAAAAACTGATAGCAAATGGACGGCAGATATATTAGAAGAGGAGGAATAAGTGATGGAGACTTACGGCTCTGCTTCGATGCTCTTGAGTTTGGCGACATAATTGGATGGGATATAGCCCTCGAGTTTGGTCTGTTTGGATCGGGCGAACCACCAGTCGCCCTGAGTATCGTTGATGATCTCCAAGTGCTCGCCCTTCTTGAACGACAGGTCCTCATCAGTGCGCGCGTCGTAATCATAGAGCGCCACAAACACCTTCCCGTTACCGCCCGGACCAGAGCCGACGCCCACCAGACCTCCCGGACCCACACCTCCCGGTCCGCACTCACCGCCGATCAGATCGTTGGCGCCGACGCCCGGCATCTGATTCACGCCATTCATGGCATTCATTTGTCCGCAATTAGGTCTGAGTGCGTCCAACGGCACCGGAGGAGCGGTTATCACTTCCAACGGGTGCGACAGTCCTACGGGTCCTCCGATCGGCCGCAACACATCCGACGCCGACGACAAGCCGTTCATCGGTTGGCCATTGGATCGGCTTTTGTCGCGAATACAACAGTTGCCCATAATTTGATCACTCAATTGGTCTCACAATCTCTTCACGAGTGATGTATATATAAGAGAGAGAGAGAGAGAGAGAGTGAGTGAGCGTTCAATACAACGGTTCACCACTTCTTCGCGTCACTCATCGCTCGACAAAACCATTACATAATTTGTCTGCAATTCAAACACACTATGAATGCGACCAAAAAGTGGATTCAATTGAATTAAGGGTTGATTTAGTGAAGTGTTTGTCACTCATTGGACTCATCCCTAGCTGTAAGTGACGGCCATTTGATATCACAAACACTTTTGATTTGCAAAACAATACAAACATTTCAAGCATTCAATACTTCACTCAATGTTTCGCACAGTTTTTGCCACTCATTACACACAATACGTCCATTACTTACACCTCAAACGCAAACACTTGTGGTTTGCCATCACTTCTTCATCACATCCACCGCTTATCCCAACCATTCATTCGTGTCTTTAATTGTTGTTTTTGTGGCCAAAATTAGTTTTAATTTAATTATAATTTAATTACAATTTTTACGCTCTATTTGTTGACGTGATTTGTGGTGAAAATTAAGTGAAATTAATGTAAAAATTGGTTCAAACGATAAAAACGTTCACAAAATGCATACAAAACCGAAACCCCTTTCGGTTGAACTCAATGTTAAATTAAATGTAATTTTGAAGCGTTTTTGATATGATTTTGCTATAATTTAAATGAAAACTATTTTCACTGAAATCAATGTGTTTTGAATTTTGGTAAACATTTTGTGATTTAGTTTTTGGTTTTGTGTTTATAATTGAATTTAGTTTTGCGTTGAAAGACACACATCTTTGGATCAATTAGTGATATCTGGAGTCGAGAGATGTCTAAAAACGCGGATTTGATTGATATTTGTAACACTGTTTCGGTTTGTATCCAATGTTTGGCTCAAATTTTGCACTTAATGTTAATTTGATTTAAATTTGGTTTTGTATTACAGAAATGGATCAATAGATCACTTATACCAGAGCCAGACATCACTGGTTTGGCCGACATTTGCGATCTCAACAAATACGACGAGAAGTATTCAGCGGAAGATCTGAAGACTGTTGTGGACACGGCTTTCAAACAGAAGTCACAACAATTTAATAATGTATTCAAACAATTAGTTATAACTTATAAGACATTTAGTTATTTAAATGTTAAAAACTATTTGTGTTTAGGAAACGGAACTGCAGTTTGAAAACTACGAGAATCTGTTGAGTTTGGTAATAATGGTGGCCAAACACGGGTCCTGTTCTGGCGGTCTTCCGATTAATCTGTTGGCCGACATCTTTGACTGCCGGACATTAGATGAATGCCAACAACTGTTTATATTGATTGAGAACAAAGTGGACGTCTGGAAAGAGGAGTGTTTCTTCAAGAACGTGAAGAACCAGTTGTTGAGGTCGTGTAACGATCTCTTGAGACGTCTTTCCCGCTCTCAGAACACTGTGTTTTGCGGTCGTATTCTTGTATTTTTGGCCCGATTTTTCCCACTCTTCGAGCGCTCGGGTCTGAACTTGAATTCAGACTTTAATCACGAAAACGCCACCACTT